ACAATAAAATTATTAATTATGACAGAAAATTATATGGAATGATGAAAATCAGCAGGAGATCCATAGTCTTTGGATGGAAGTGATGTGTAAATAGTAAATTCTACACGATTAAATGCAATAACGCAAAAATCGTGAATGCTTTAATAATGGCAATGTGAATTATATATGAAAGTATCGACAACGTGAATGAAGAGTTATGTGTTAATTTTGAATAGAGACAATAAGAAATGAAAACTCCCAACAAGTAAATAGTGACGATTTGGATTTAACATCTAGGCCAATAAACTCTCCGAACGGATCGCGTTTTTTCATGGACTTTTCTGCCGACACTACAATTTTAATGATAGGATACATTGGCACATCATTCAGTTGGTCTTTATCGTTGTCTGAGAAGTAGTCGGTGATTGCTGGTTTGACTATACCAACACTGATGGCTTCTGCCTTATTTGACTGTTCCACCATTATAACTTTGTCATTCCTCTCCAGTACTCTAAATGGACTGTCGTAGGCAGGTTTGTTGAGTACGTAACAATGTGATTGTACACTTTTTGGTTACTTGTATAAATTCGAGATATTGTACATAATTTTTGTTTAAAACGCTTCTTGTTGAAATATACATAACTTCCGTGTACAATTGAAAAATACACTCTGCTGTTGGAGACTTCGTCTTCTCCCTGGTCACTTCTGCTTACTTGCTCCACTCACACCGTGTTGTATACTTCGGATTTATTGTAGGAGCCTACTACTCTCAACCGAAGACATTTCTACAACCGGAACACAGCAGCTACAGCAGACGCAGTCCAAACAATTAACGTGCCTGTGGATTATATAATTAATTTGTAGCCGAGGACTTACACTTTATAACCAAGTAATCCTTTTTGTTGCTATAACTCGTCACTGTATTTTTGGTAATATATTGTGATTTAACACTCCACTGACTTGGATTATTACTTTTATACTTGGAATGTTAGTGAACTCTAATATTAGTCCCCTACAAATTAATTGGTGAGCCCGATAAGAACACGGATTATTTTGGCATATTCATATTCTTATTTTTGCTATTTTGTATATTCATTGTGATTTTGTGTGTGGTTTATATTTGTATCCTAATTTGTACCAATAACCCCATATTCATAATGTCATCACCTCAGTCCGGTACATCAAATGAGCAGACAACTAATAGCGAGACAAACGCCACAATAAATGCCATCACTGATTTTCGTTTACCCCAATACGGTTTCGCAGAACCAAGGATTTGGTTTGCGGTAATTGAACCGTTGCTAGAAGCACGGGGCATTAAGTCCCAAATAGCCAAATATGGTATGGTGCTGGCAGAACTCCCTCCGTCAGTATTGACAGAAATCAGCGATTTCATCGAAGATCCTCCGACGGAACATCAATTTGATAAACTTAAAGCCCTCCTCATACAACGTACCAGTTTGTCGGATGAGAAAAGAATCCAACAATTGCTCACAGGCTGTGAACTAGGCCCACGTAAACCATCCCAGCTGCTCAGGCACATGCGCCAGTTAATCGGACATCATAAAGTAGACGAGGTAGTGCTGAAACAGATGTGGTTGCAACGTTTACCTAGAAATGTCCAGCAAATTTTAATCATCTCAGGAAAGTCGTATGACTTAGACCAACTAAGTGACATGGCAGATAGTATTATGGATGTTTTATCTGATAACACCATAAGTCACGTAGCATCTGATAGTGCCACACCGTGTCATTCCACACCCACGGCAGACACACCGATACTCGCCGCCATTGCAGACTTAGCGGCAAGGATTGACAAGTTGGAAACTAATAGGTCGGATCGACAAGTCCGGAGGCGGAGCTCACAGAGAAGGTCACCATCACGACGACGATCCTTCTCACGACAGCGTTCTTACACGTCTTCTCGGGATAGCAATATATGCTGGTATCACTGGAAGTTTGGACGTCATGCCCTGAAATGTGTAAAACCGTGCAGCTTTAGCGAAGCCAACCAGGCTCAGGGAAACGCCTCAGCCAGACAGTGATGGCGACAGCTGTTACTGGCAATCACCACAGTCGCCTTTTTTATGTGAGGGATTTGACTACCGGCACATTATTCCTGGTAGATACAGGCGCCGAGGTCAGTGTTATCCCCCCCTCACTATCCAGGCGATCAGCCAAAATACCTGGAAAACTTTCACTCCGTGCTGCCAACCAAACCAACATACAGACGTATGGCGAACAGTCAATGATTTTAAATTTGGGACTACGCCGACGTTTCACATGGATCTTCATAGTAGCTGACGTACGTCACGCTATACTAGGTGCAGACTTTCTAAGTCACTTCAATCTGTTGGTTGATATCAGCAAGAAAAAACTGGTTGACAATTGCACCCAACTCAAGATCCATGGTATTACATGCGACTACTCTGTTCATAGCATCTGCATAGAAAAGCCGGAGAGTGAAATGTTCTCTGCTTTATTGCAACGATTTCCTAAAATCCTTAAACCATCATACAATGTCGAAGATATATCTCATACAGTTACGCATAAGATCATCACAACAGGACAACCTGTGAAGGCACGTCCACGACGGTTACCACCCGATAAACTAGCAGCAGCTAAGTCGGAATTTGAACATATGATGCAGTTAGGTATCATACGACCATCTAACAGCCCATGGTCTTCACCTCTGCACATGGTACCTAAAACTAATCATGACTGGCGACCATGTGGAGATTATCGCGCTTTGAATAACGCTACGGTACCAGATCGTTATCCTATACCTCATCTCCACGACTTCTCCTTGACCTTACATGGAAAGACCATTTTTACTAAAGTTGACTTGGTGAGGGCATATCATCAAATACCAGTCGCTCCAGAAGACATTGCAAAAACAGCAATTATTACGCCTTTTGGATTATTCGAATTCTTGAGAATGCCTTTCGGACTAAAGAATGCTGCTCAAACATTTCAGCGTTTTATGGACCAAGTTACCCAAGGTCTTGATTTCGTCTTTGTATATATCGACGATGTCTTAATTGCCAGCTCATCGACGGAAGAACATATGCAACACTTAAGCTTGTTATTTCAAAGGTTTGAACAATTTGGAGTTGTTATCAATCCAAAGAAATGTATTTTTGGTTCCCCTTCCATTGAATTCTTAGGACATCGAATAACTGCCGAAGGCATCAGACCTACCGAAGATAAGATAGAAACTATTAAGAACTTTCCCGAACCTGATTCCTTAAAGAAACTTAGACGTTTTCTCGGGATGTTCAACTTCTACCGACGTTTTATTCCATCATGTGCCTCCATAGTTCAGCCACTGACCGACCTACTTAGATGCAATTCGAAGAAATTTCAGTGGTCTGAAGAAGCAAAAGCAGCATTTAATAATGCAAAAGATGCCTTATCCAACGTCGTAATGTTATCTCACATCAACCCAGAAGCTTCACTCATTTTATGTACAGATGCATCACAGGTAGCAGTGGGAGCAGTTTTACAACAAAAGTTCAATAATGACATCACTCCACTTGCTTTCTTCTCCAAGAAATTGGAACCTGCGCAAACTCGTTACAGTACCTTTGGCAGAGAACTGTTAGCCATCTACCTAGCAGTGAAACATTTCAGCTTCTTACTACAAGGTCGACATTTTACTATCTTAACCGACCATAAGCCTCTTTGTTATGCTTTCACCACTTCGTTGGACAGACACTCTCCGAGAGAAGCCAGACAACTGGATTACATCTCACAATTCTCAACAGACATCCAGTTCATCAAAGGAGATTCCAATATCGTAGCCGATTCCTTGTCTCGATGTGACGTTAATCATCTATCTTCGATAGATATTAGCCTAGACAATATTGCCAAGCTGCAGAAAAATGACGCCGAACTCCATACTTGTAGACGAAACTCCTCCCTACAGTTGCAGGATGTACCTATTCCCCTGTCTGATACAACTATCGTCTGCGACGTTTCAACGGGCGTTCATAGACCTTTTGTTCCACTAAGTTGTCGAAAAGCATTGTTCGAACATTTACATTCGCTTTCTCACCCTGGAGTACGCGCCACGGTCAGACTGATCAGCGAACGCTTCGTGTGGCCTAAAATGAACTCTGACATTCGGAGATGGGCACGAGAATGTATCCAATGCCAATGCTCCAAAGTACACCGCCACACTATTACAACCCCGAAGACGTTTAAATTACCCGAAAGGAGATTTCAGCATATCCATATAGATATCGTGGGACCATTGCCAACATCAAGGGGATATACACATATCCTGACAGCGATTGATAGATTTACTCGTTGGGCTATTGCATGCCCCTTAAACGACATATCTGCTGAAAACGTTGCTTTAGTTTTTCTCGACCGTTGGGTGTCAAACTACGGTGTACCAACTACTATTACATCCGACCGCGGTCCTCAATTCCAATCGACACTCTTTCGCGAACTGACGAGACTTCTGGGAGTGAAACATATCTCCACAACAGCCTATCATCCGGCAGCGAATGGTCTAGTGGAAAGATTCCACAGACAACTGAAAAGCTCCCTGATGGCGCAGAATGATACATCTAAGTGGAGTGAATACTTACCTTTGATTTTACTTGGTATCCGTTCTACTATCAAAGAAGATTTAGGATGTACACCGGCTCAACTTGTCTATGGCACCAACCTAACCTTGCCTGGACAGCTAGTCCCCTCAGCCGATTCCACAGACGTGAACATTGCCGACTTCACTAACCGATTAACTAGACAAATGCTTCAACTTCAACCAACAGCACCTCGACAATCTCCCCGAAGAGATCAGATCAACAAACATCTACAAACTTGCAAATTCGTCTTCATTCGAGTCGACGCCATCAGAAAAGGATTGCAACCTCCATACGAAGGACCCTTTCAAGTTATTAAACGTTCAGACAAACACTTTACAGTGAACAAGAATGGAAGACGAGAGACTGTTTCAATTGATCGAATCAAACCCGCATACACCGACAACGACTTCGAATCTACATCGGCAGCTGCGCAATCAAATAATCAAACATCCGAATCCCCTCCACCGGCACCAAGTCTTATCCTCCCTCCATATCACACACGTAGTGGTCGGCAAATCAGTAAACCGGCTCGCTACGTTCATTTTGAGGACTAACAAAAGAAAAATAATTAAAAATTATTATTATCTTTTTCGTTTAGACATTATCATCATGACGGTTAGTATTTCGTCGTAAACTTTGATGTTACTATCACTATTATTTATTTATATGTACCTCACCGAAAAAACAGGTAGTGTCCTTTCCAAAAACTATTGATCTTTAATCCATATTTTTTTAAATGTTTCTTTCCCCTCCTTAATTACTGTGTATTTACATATTTTTCTTTATACATTAAAAATCTATGTTCATGGTTAGTGCAAATTTAAGTGACATGACTTTCTCTTTCAATTTTTATTGCTGAACCAATTGTATATGCTTTCAGACTTTACATGACTCACATACCTTCTCGCGTTTATGCATGTTGTAATATATCCCTATTTTTATCCAAAAGTTGCTATTACTATTATTATTTACTTCATAGTTTTACTTATCATTTCCCGGTTGTCTCTCCGGACCTCTAGGGGGGGAGCCGTGTTGAGTACGTAACAATGTGATTGTACACTTTTTGGTTACTTGTATAAATTCGAGATATTGTACATAATTTTTGTTTAAAACGCTTCTTGTTGAAATATACATAACTTCCGTGTACAATTGAAAAATACACTCTGCTGTTGGAGACTTCGTCTTCTCCCTGGTCACTTCTGCTTACTTGCTCCACTCACACCGTGTTGTATACTTCGGATTTATTGTAGGAGCCTACTACTCTCAACCGAAGACATTTCTACAACCGGAACACAGCAGCTACAGCAGACGCAGTCCAAACAATTAACGTGCCTGTGGATTATATAATTAATTTGTAGCCGAGGACTTACACTTTATAACCAAGTAATCCTTTTTGTTGCTATAACTCGTCACTGTATTTTTGGTAATATATTGTGATTTAACACTCCACTGACTTGGATTATTACTTTTATACTTGGAATGTTAGTGAACTCTAATATTAGTTCCCTACAGGTCTAAGTGCTCGTTGTACACCACCCTTCTTGACAAAAACGTGAGTGCAATTTGTCAGCGGTAACGGCATGTATGATGGTCATTACCGATGGATTAGAAGGGAAATTTTTAGCTCATTCGTGTGCCTTTTTGGCAGATATATGTAGTCAGCCATATCACGTGAAGTTTCGTTATCTGAGGTGAAAAGTTCTCTACGTAAGCTTAGCGTTGTCCCATAGACTAACTCGCAGACGTAGCCTCTGGTGTGATTCTTTAAAGTTGCTCGTTTACCCAACAGTAGTAAGCGTGAGTTTGGTGAACCAGTCAGGATGGCAGAAATCACAGTCTTAAGTTGACGATGAAGTCTCTCAACCATCTCATTGGAAACTGAGTGATATGAAGCCTTTTGAGTTCTTTTGATTCATGATTTGTTGAAAAAGACGGCTTTCGAACAGCGCTACCTAGTTTTCGACGACAGTTTTAGCAGCTGTTTTGGTGGATATGTCTGCTAGTGGAACTGCTGCTGGCCAACCAGTGAATCTATCTGTCCGACTGATAGTTTAATTGAAACCACTGGAAGGGAGCAGGGGAACAATGATATCTATATGTATGTGGGCAAATCCTGAGTTAGGAAAACAACCAAACGGCACATTGGTGTGACGATAAGTCTTGACTCTTTGACCAGACAAACAATTTCGCATCAACTTCTTAGCATCACTGTTAATGTTTGGCCATATAAATCTTTCGTTCAGCAGCCTGTTATTAGCGCTGAATTCGGGACGTGAGGCATTATGCAGCTTCGCAAGAATTGTGCATCTAATTGTGGCTGGCACAAAAGGTCGATATTTGCCGGAATGTGACGATAAGCTCTTTCAGGATTGATCTTGGAGAAAACCTTAACATCTGGCGAATTACTGGTGAAATGGTGAACGTGTGACAGTGTCTACCCATTAGGCGACGTTTGTTTGTTCAAAGCTTGCTAATCCTGTGGTGAGATCTGGCCACTAGCCAAAGTTGGTAGACGGTATTTTACGTCAATGTTTATGTCCCAATATTGATCGTGAGAAAATATGGATAAGGATTGGTTCAACAACCAACCACAGCAGAGTTTGCGTAGGCGGATGCAATTAACATATAGGTGATCTGACATTCAAGAATCAGCTACAAGAGATGAAAGGGTGTGCAAAAACCAGTGGTCCAGTAGTTTTAGTGTGACGAACCACATGATGTTCAGTGTGTCAGAAAGAAAACTGAAAAATATCGGGGAAATTGTTCACTAATTCCGCATTTGGATGTGCTGGCGTGAGTGTGACCATCAGATTCAAAGATGATGCTTCGCTGATTGTACCAGCAGTGTACACTTCAATGTGTGAGTTAATCAGTTTGGGGCCAGTATTTTGTGGTTCTGCATAAAATTGATGCCTGAAAGTGGCTATGAGACATCTGCAGTGATGAATAACCAAGTATAGACATTCTGCAGACCAAAGCTCAAAGTCATACGATTGCGTCCATACGTAACAATATTGAACTTATTAGCGGCTTGGAGAGTGTCTGTTGGATCGAGATGTTGACACCCTGTGTGGATGAAGGAAGAACATTCACTTATACTCCTGTGTTGACTAGGAGTGTAGTACCATTATTTCTGTCTGTTACATGAAACAAACGACTGCTGGACTGCAGATTGTCTCCATCCACGACTCAACGGCAATAATGTTAGATACTGCTTGGTTTTCGAAAATAAATTTTGTCAGAATGTACCACCCAATGTTAGGTGAGTTGAGAGAAATTTGTGAAGCGTCTTTGTTGATACATTCTGAATGATTTTACCCATACCAATAGGCCTGCAGATGGCAACATTGAGATGCATCTTAACGGGGACACGTAGTTCATTTTACGACTTCCCACAGATGGGATACTGATGTTGCTTGATTGTTAAAAATGCACGAATCTAAAACCCGTGGTGCTTCTTGTTTTCTAATACACAAGGCCTGATAGAAGTGATAATAATGCGCAGCGATCTTAAAGGTCCTTGCTGTCGATTATAATTTGGTTATTGGCGCTAGCGGCTTCCGCGACTCTCATCTCTGCTCCCGAAAATATCACGTGTATCAATTGAAGAAAAACAGTGTATTCGGACAAACTACAACGGTTATTGGTTGCCTTCTTGCTACCAGCACGTAATCTTTCCTCTCACTTTCTATATCAAAGATCCATTGTGCCAGCTAGTCAAAACTAAACTGATTTCTTTCAAGTGAGATAAAGGCTTCTAATTTTCGGAAACCTGTTGAGTAGTTCACCCTACCAATTGCCTGCGACAAATTTTGATAGAAGTCAAAGGAAGTGGTGTGGGACTTGGCTATATCTGATTTGAAGCAAACCATGTTTATATACAATGGGGCTTCCGTGAATGGAGTTGAGGTTTTCACACATTGATCTCCCGATGTTGTCTGAATGGCAGATGCTGTAATCGGGAGCAAATAAAGATGAGCAGCCAGTCTGAAACACAATTAAAAATGAAAGCAGGTAAATGGGTGAATAATCAGACTTGAAAAAAGAGTGAAATGAGAAAAGCTATGAACGCGTTTAGTTGAGAACCCCTTTAGTAGATTTCAGTGTACCAGGGTTATATCTATATCCTCAACTCTAAACAGTGACACACCCATGTCACTGTGTCGTAGAATGTAGATGACTAACAAACATACGACGTATCTGACCAACCAAGCGTAGGTACAGAGTAATTTATACCAAAGGTAACAACATTCGAACAGTAATTTGAAACATGAAAGGCCTTTATTCGTGCGAGTCAGTTTAACAATTACCCCCTCATATACAGTTGGCTTATCATCACTAAACTGACCATTGACTTTCGTCCTTTCAAACGGGCTAATACTAGCATAGTCATAGCATAAGACACGTGAGTTCATGGACATCCCTTTCATTGTGGATGACAACACCAACGAAGACTGACTGGCACAAGTTGATGAACTTAGCCGTGCATCAGAAGCTGTTGTTGTTCGGATTTTAGAAGGTTGTCTAAGTGCAAGTTTAATACCACTGCTGTCTTTTATTATTAGCTCTGGTTTAGCACTAGCATCTGATGATAGGCGGGCTACACGCTGATCACTTACACTGACGGTCTCACAAGTATCTATACCTTCTACCACCTCATCTGCTCTTAATTCTACTTCATGTTTAAGTTGTACAGAACCTTTGTTCAACTCAGCAGTAGTAGGCATTCTCCTCATCTCATCATGATCAACCATAGACAAAAGTGCACTATCATGATCATTATCATAAATATACACTTTACCGTCGTCTATCCGGTCGATTTCATCATTTTCAAACTCTTTAATAACAGCAGCAGATGATTCGGGTTCTTCTTCATAAATCCTTGAGGGTTTTGTACCTCCACTCTGACTAGTAATACCTTGAAAACTTGTGGAGTCAGAACTGAACTGCGAAACTGTAACTCTCTTCTCCTGCACAAACTGCGGTGTCGTCTGTGACCCTCCATTCAACAATGGCTTACCAGTTGCATCTACGGGCTTCTTGACCGCACCATTATCGTCACACGGTTCGGAGTCAGACCTTGATTTCACATTTAGCTTACCACTAAACTTGCTGACTTCTTCACAGTTCGCCTTTGTGTGCACTTCTTGCAGACGTGTAAAACACAACCATGTTTGTCTCGCAACTTGTAACCTATCAGTTGGGGACATCCCACGAAGGCTGTTACAGTCACTAAGTTTATATGGGCTACTAGACACCATAAAGCTTTCTCGTTATCCACTTCTCTGAGACCCTTTCGTCATAAATCATTGCATTTTGCTCTCAGACTGCTCTATTCCAGAGATGGGATGCAATATACTGGCAAACTTTCTCATAGATTGATTGACACTCTCTTATATCAGTTTCAGAATATCATCGAACTTTGGCTCACTAACTTCATCCTCTATGCAAGAGCTTATCTTCACCCACTTCCTTTGTAGTCGAGTAGGTAGGTGTCTCGCTATTACCTCTGGGACGGAACTTGAGTTCAGATCGCTCATGCAATTCATCGAAATCAACGCGTTCTTGTTAGTCAACAGATTATCTCAAAACTCAGGGTGCCATGAAGTCATCTTGTAATTGACTACCATTACCTTTAACAGTCTCGAATACGTTCCTTTCAATCATCGAAGGTCTTCCGAATCTTTGACGCAGTATACTGATAGCCTCAGAGTATCCTTCGTTAGGGGGCACGAACTTACAGCACTGTATAGCTCTTGAAGCAACTCCAGTGCACTACATCATCAAATACATCAACTTCATTTCATCATTTAATAAAAAACTACTCAACATTATTTCAAACTCCTTTGCAAACTGTAAATATTCAGCTGGGTTTCCGTCGAAACACCGAGGTTCAAATTTAGGCCTATTATCCCTAGACTGCGAAACATGAACAACAGACTCATCATGCTGAGCATCATACATATCATTACAATTAACAAGCAACTCAGCATCACTTACTTTCCTGCTTGCTTCCAAGACGCTTCGTCCCTTCTTTGACCCAGGCATCATTGAACTTGACCAAAATTCCAGAAAAGTTCCAGATAATACTTGTCCAAAGAAGACTGGCAGGCACCAGGAAAGACGAACGGAAACTATCCAAACACTATCAGAAACTGTCAGTCAATTCTCAGTAACTGTCAATGTCCAGCTCTTGCTACATTGGACCTCACGCCGTCCCTCTGAGACTTACGGAAACACTTTGTATTGACCAACGCAAAAACCGGAACACTGATTGGCGACTCAAGAATCCTTTATTCTTACGCCAATATGTAACCAACAATAAGGTTATTACACAAGGTCTATGAATAAATCTTATAACAATAAATCACGATAATACTTCTGACAGTTTTTTTATCTTCCCAGAACAGCGAACGATGAGACGATGACTGCAACATCGATGACTCCC